CTGCCTGCAATGCAGGAGACTCGAGTTCAGTCCCTTGGTCAGGATGATCCTCTGGAGAAGGGAATGGCAACCCACTCTAGTATTCTTACATGGAAAATCCCATGGACACAGGAGCCTGGCAGGCTACAGTCCATGGGGTCACAAGGAGTCAGGCATGACTGAGCGACTAACATTGTCACTTGTATCTGTAGTTCTGAATCTGTGGATTCAACCAACTTTGGATAGTGCAGTATGTAACATATTTATTGAAAAAAATTCCTGTATAGGTGGATCTGTGCAGCTCAGACCTATTTTGTTCAAGGGTCATATCTGTATACGTAGATATCTAAGTTGTTTATTTTGTTAGAAACTCCCATGTATGTTTCTGTGAATTAAAAGAAATTCCCTTCTGTGTAATTATGAGACTATTTTGTCACTCCAGGGCTCTTTAAATTTATTCCTGTAGCTTAGTTTTTATGTCATAGGCACTACCGCACTATAGGCAGACTTCATTTTATTGTACTTCACTTTATTGCACTTTGCAGATACTGTATTTTTTACAGATTGAAGGTTTGAGGCCACCTTGAGTTGAACTCAAGTGTGTAGGCATCTTGTTTCTAACAGCATTTGCTCACTTCATGTCTCTGTGTCTCATTTTGGTAATCTTAAATATTTCTTTTTTTAGACAAATTATTTATTTTCGGCTGTGCTGGGTCTTTGTTGCAGGGAGCAAGGGCTACTCTAGTTGCAGTGCACGGGCTTCTCTTTGTGGTGGCTTCTCTTGTTGCTGAGCATGGGCTCTAGAGCATGCGGGCTTCAGGAGTTGTGGCACATGGGCTCAGTAGTTGTGGCTCCTAGTCTCTGGTTGTTGTTCAGTTGTTCAGTCATGTCTGAGTCTTTGTGACACCATGGACTGCAGCACGCCAGGCCTCTCTCTCCTTCACTATCTCCCTGAGTTTGCTCAAACTCATGTCCATTGAGTCAATGATGCCATCCAACCATCTCATCCTCTGTTGACTCCTTCTCCTCCTACCTTCAATCTTTCCCAGTATCAGAGTCCTTTCCAGTGAGTCAGTTGCATCAGGTGGCCAAAGTGTTGGAGCTTCAGCTTCAGCATCAGTCCTTCCAGTGAATATTCATGGTTGATTTCCTTTAGAATTGATTGCTTTGATCTCCTTGCTCTCCAAGGGACCCTCAAGTGTCTTCTCTAGCACCGCAGTACAAAAGCATCAATTCTTCAGTGCTCAGCCATCTTTATGGTCCAACTCTCACAACTATACATGACTACTGGAAAAACCATAGTAGGTCAGGTGGTCTGGTATTCTCATCTCTTTAAGAATTTTCCAGTTTGTTGTGATCCACACAGTCAAAGGCTTTAGCATAGTCAATGAAGCAGAAGTAGATGTTTTTTGAAATTCCCTTGCTTTTTCTATAATCTAGCATATGTTGGCAATTTGATCTCTGGTTCTGTGTTTTCTAAATCCAGCTTGAACATCTGGAAGTTCTTGGTTCACATACTGCTGAAGTCTAACTTGAAGAATTTTGAGCATCATCTTGCTAGCATGTGAAATAAGTGCAATTGTACAGTAATTTGAACATTCTTTGGCATTGCCTTTCTTTGAGATTGGAATGAAAACTGATGTTTTCCAGTCCTGTGGCCACTGCTGAGTTTTCTAAATTTGCTGACATATTGAGTGCAGCACTTAACAGTATCGTCTTTTAGGATTTGAAATAGCGTTGCTGGAATTCCATCACCGCCACTAACTTTGTAGTGATGCTTCCTAAGGCCCACTTGACTTCACACTGTAGGATATCTGGCTCTAAGTGAGTGACCACACAGTTGTGGTTATCTGGGTCATTAAGACCTTTTTTGGTACAGTTCTTTTGTGTATTCTTAATAGTTGTGGCCCATGGGCTTAGTTTTATCGTGCACAGCATCTGGGATCTTCCCAGATCAGGGATTAAACCTGTGTTTCCTGCATTGGCAGGGGGATTCTTTACCACTGAGGCCCCAGGGAGGCTCGATTCTTGCAATATTTTAAATCCTCTATCAGCATAAAGATTATGACTTATGGAAGGTTCTGATGATGGTTAGCATTTTTGTTTGTTTGTTTGTTTTGCAATACAATGTTTTTTAAATTAAGATAGATATATGCATTGCTTTTTAGACATAGTGTTCTTGCACATTTAGTTGACTATAGTAGAGTGCAAACATAACATTTATATGTGCTGGGAAACCGAAAATATTTGTATGACTCATTTTATCACAGAATTTGCTTTATTGTGGTGATCTGGAAGGAACCTGCAGTATTTCTGAGGTATCCCATACTTAACACTTAAAAAGAAACTGACGGGATTGAGCTGATGGGCTCCTTTGTAAGGATTTGAAGATTACAAGTTTGGGCATTGAGACGTAAAAGATATTTAGAAATGTAGCTGTCAATGATTTGCTGCTTCATTGATTGGGTTGCTGGAAGTTGATTAAGTTTCTAGAGGTAAAGTGCATTCAGAAAACTAAGATCATGGCATCTGGTCCCATCACCTCATGGGAAATAGATGGGGAGACAGTGGAAAGAGTGTCAGACTTTATTTTTGGGGGGCTCCAAAATCACTGCAGATGGTGACTGCAGCTGTGAAATTAAAAGACGCTTACTCCTTGGAAGGAAAGTTATGACCAACCTAGACAGCATATTAAAAAGCAGAGACATTACTTTGCCAACAAATTTCTGTCTGGTCAAGGCTATGGTTTTTCCAGTGGTCATGTATGGATGTGAGTGTTGGACTGTGAAGAAAGCTGAGCGCCGAAAAATTGATGCTTTTGAACTGTGGTGTTGGAGAAGACTCTTGAGAGTCCCTTGGACTGCAAGGAGATCCAACCAGTCCATCCTAAAGGAGATCAGTCCTGGGTGTTCATTGGAAGGACTGATGCTGAAGCTGAAATTACAATCCTTTGGCCACCTCATGTGAAGAGTTAGAAAAGACCCTGATGCTGGGAGGGATTGGGGGCAGGAGGAGAAGGGGACAACAGAGGATGAGATGCCTGGATGGCATCACCAACTCGATGGGCATGAGTTTGATTAAACCCCGGGAGTTGGTGATGGACAGGGAGGCCTGGCGTGCTGCGATTCATGGGGTCGTGAAGAGTTGGACACGACTGAGCGACTGAACTGAACTGAATGATAAGAATCTGTTCCATAGAGTTGATCTGTGAAATTGTAATTTCACTGTTATTGGTAGTAATATATTTATTAATCTACTTGAACAGCATATGATAGAAGAACTAGCATATAGGCCTTTAAGTTTTTGTCATTTTTATTTGTTTGTAAGTTTCAGGCCTAGGAGCAGTTAGCCCCATGGTATAAACCAGTGCTACTCAAATGACAGGTTCACAGTAAGGTAACGCTTGTATCAGAATGTAAATCAGTGCATTGCATCCTTCACATCACAGAAAGTTTTGCTGTATAAAAATGTCAGTTGCAACAAACAGTGTTTTTTGTAACATAATTGATTTACATTCTACTTCAAGGTTCTTACCTCATGTTGGATTGATGTTGTGACCAGGTCCAGCCCATCTGCAGCTCATACTTGGAGGAGTACTAGTATAAACAACTCATTTCATAAGTGAATGCTTTATGTGTTTTCTGATTACACTGTTTGGATTGGATTGGTTTTAATGGACCTTGCTGCTGCTGTTGCCTTCTAATGCCCTACAGAGCAGGTAGACCTAATGAAACAAGTAAGGGATTCGGAGTCCTGGCTGTACATTTTTTCACCTGAATGGCCTTGGACAAATAATTTAACGTCTCTGAACCTGTTTCATCCTGTGCAAAATGAGGATATAGTTCCTGTGTTCCCATGTTGTGAAGATTGAGTTACGGTTTAAGAAACCACTTTAAAAACTCTAAATTGTAGTTAAAATGATACCATCCATACTGACAGTTTTCAAAATTTGGCCTCCTTTTCTCTGCCTAATGCCTATTGCTGAGAGTGAGGGAGTTGTTTGTACTAGTAATAAATATACTTTCTTTAAGAAATTTAAATATTGTTGCTTGACTATTATGAACCAGAGCCTGGTAAATAAATAAAATTTAACAATTGTTTCTTCATATTTTATACTAATGCTAGACTCATAATAAATGAAAAGAAAAATAGTTCTATAAGTCTCATAAGAAAAAACAATGATCATCTACCCTATTCCTGTGAACCTAAGATTCTTACATCTCTAAGACAGTTCTTTTGGTATCTTTAACTCCTTTTTTTAAAAAAATTTTGGCATTCTCCTCTTATTTCTAAATAACATTTTATGGTGTATTCTCAAGTTTTAGTCTTAGCTACTTATCTAATAGGGCTTCCCAGGTGGCTCCATGGTAAGGAATCCACCTGCTAATGCATGAGATACGGGTTTAATACCTGAGTGGGGAAGATCCCCTGGATTAGGAAATGGCAACCCACTCCAGTATTCTTGCCTGGAGAACCCTACGCACAGAGGAGCTTGATGGGCTATAGTCCATACAGTCACAGAGAGTCAGACATGACTGAAGGACTTTTAGCACAATACTAAATTTGTGGGTAAATCTAAATGAATATTGACTGTATATAGCAAGAGCTTTCAGCTTCCTGGTGTCTTTCTGTCTAATGTTAGTATTCTGTGCTTTGCTTTAAAGAATTTTTTCTTGAACTCGCATAGATTTTTGTTCAATATTTTTAGATTCCAAGGTTCTTGTAATTTGTTAATTTTTTGTGAGGTTTTTTTTTTTTTCTGGTAAAAAGGATTAGGAAGAATAAATGAGATAGAGTAAATTTTCATCTAAACCTAGAAATTCTAGAACAATTGCTTATTTTCTATTTTTTTTTGGAAGTGTTCTAAATTATTAAATAATTAGGTATTTGACTTCCTGAGAAGTTGTATAATTGAGAATGTGTCTTTACAGATAAGTACAAAGGTTATTTTCTATTTTTATGTTTCAGGGTAATTGTTTCAATGCTAATAATGAAAAATACTGCCACCTCTCTGCTTTTAGATTGGAATGTTGCGTCAGCAGGTAGAAAAACATGAAAAAGTCAAGCAAGAGATGGCCATGGAGTATAAGCAAGAGTTAAAGAAACTACATGAAGAAGTAAGATTTTAATTGTATTATATGTTGTATAATTCTGTCTCTTTAACCTTGAGAATTTTGTTAATGAGCTTGTTTCTACTTTATGAAGTGGATGTATATATTCCATGGAAGATATTGGGGTAGAAATCTTTCTCTGTTCTTAAACCCAGAATCTTGCCTTTTATATGTTTGATATTACCTACAACAGTGATTCTAAAGTATTTTTGGTTGAGTATCTGAAAAAAACTATTTTTGTATAATACCATGAAATGCTGATACCAAAAGCTTATGTTAAATGTTTTAATTTTTGAGTTGAGTCAGTTACTAGATTTTAAGTAATGAAAGATTCAAAGGTTTCAGAACCACTTTGGGATAGATTAGAAAGGTAAGAAAATTTTACCAGTTAACTGAATTGTATTCTTCAGATTGGCAAAAAAATACTTTTTATTTAATTCCAAAGCATTCCTCTCCTGCATAGTGAATATCAGTGTCCCACTGGGGAATGGTTCAAGAACCACAGGCCTTGAGAAAAGAAAGAGTGTTTATTTGCTGCTTTTATTGTGAGGATGGGTTGTGGGGCCCCTCAGTGCAGGGCTATTGTATATTATAATAAAAAATTAGACCTTTGTTTTATTTATTTATTAAACTTTGCTCTTTACTTTTTATTTGACTCTATTTTTTCCCCTGGTGTTTACTTTTTGTATGTAGTTTTGAGTTTTTTATTTTATCTAACATGCTCTCTATTTTCAGGAATGCTAGTTAGCTCTACTTGTGCTTTTATAACGCCAGTTTGTTTTACCAGCACTGTTTACACATTCTTAAATTTTAAGTCTAGAAATAACTGTGTCTACAGTTAGGCAGACTGAAGAGAAGCTATGAAAAGCTACAGAAAAAACATGTAAGAGACTTCAGAGGAAATGCCAAAAACAGGGAAGATCGGTCTGAAATTGAGAGGTTAACTGGAAAAATAGAGGTATGTTCATAGTACTGATTGACTTGTAGTGATTGTCAGCCTTCATGTAGGAAGACTCTGTTTCTGATAGTGCTGTTTCATGAAGCCAATTTTCTCTCACCGGCAGGACTACCACTGAGCTATTTCAGAGGTGGGAGGGTGTCCTGTCATCATCTGGTTCCCTGTGGTTACTAGCTATCAGTAGTTCTCAAGAGGGTGGTGCCATCCTTTGAGGGCATTAGAAATATTTGAGACATTGTTTTGGTTGTCAAAATGACTGGGAGTGAAACTGGTGAGTAAGGCACAGGAACCAGGGACACTAAACATGACTGGGCCTATTCCGCACAGGAAAGATCTATTGTACCCCAAATGCCAATACTAAGGAACATTGATACCAGTTACTGGCTGTCCTCTGTGAGTATTGTCTTTGTTTTATTTATCACCTAACAGAGTAGGGGCTTAGAAAGTGTTGAAGGTATGTGGCTTTTTTGTACACAGTACTTTGCATATCAGATTATTTATTCTTAGTTCCCATTTAGATATGATAAGTCACTTGCCTCCCTCCTTGCTGACTTAAGTTTTTGTTAAGTTTGAGTAACTCCATGATTATTGTATATCTTGGTTCCCAGAGGAGTTAAGGAAGTTGAGACTTAACACCACCAAGAACAGCATGGGGCTGTCACTTTTTCCCCCTTGAATCCACCACTCCTCTCCTCTGTCTATGCTCTTGGTTCTCAAGTGTACCTAAGTGTTAACCAGGGTCCTCTTTAGTCTCTCAGAGATTCTGATCCAGTAGTATGGCATGTGAGCTAGGACTCTGCACTTTATCTAGCTTCCCCAGCTGATGTTAATTTGAGAAACATTGTTCAACATCTTTGTAGGATTACTTACAATGTTTCTACTCAGAGTGACCTGTCACCCACTAATACTGTTATATTATTACTACCTAGAATTTTAATTTCTACTTTTAATATTTTTTTACATCTCAATATTTTTCTATGTTTGAAGAGCTTAGAATCAGATTTTGCTTTCTCTCCAGCCTTCTTCACTGGTACCTGGGTTTTTGCATATGACACAACTTAGTGACTAAACAACAATGTACATACAGGCAAAATTACTCATTTTCTGATCCCTGATTACTCCCCCGGTTGATTGTCATTCTCTCCAACATTGCTCTTACCATAATTCTTGAGGATTTTGGTATCCACAAGGATGATCCTTATAATACTATGGTCTTTGTTTCATTGGTGTTCTTTTCCTCCAGGGATATTTTAATTCCTTTCTGTCTCTTTTCCCTTTTCCCATTGCAATTCCTTAGGTGTTGTCACTAACAATACTTGCAACCCTCCAAGGATCACAGTTTTAAGCATCTCGTTCTTTCTGACTACCATCCCCTTCTTTTCAGCTTGCTCCCTCTTATTCCCAATGCTCGATAATCACCTGATTCCCCATTCCTTAAAGTGTTTGGATCTAGCCACTTGTCACTGCTCCATACCTGCCTCATGTCCACACCTACCACTTCTTACCCAGCTTCTATCCCATGGTTACGCTCCTTATATTCCCCTTCTGTTCCTGTGCCCTCTCTTTGTTGTTGTTGTTGTTGTTCAGTGGCTCAGTTGTGTCCGATGCACTTTGTGACGCCATGCACTGCAGGGCTTCCCTGTCCTTCACCATCTCCTGGAGTTTGGTCAAACTCATGTCCATTGAGTCAGTGATATCATCCAACCATCTCATCCTCTGTTGCCCCCTTCTCCTATCCTCAATCTTTCCCAGCATCAGGATCTTTTCCAGTGAATCTGTTCCATCAGGTGGCCAAAGTATTGGAGCTTCAGCTTCAGCATCAGTCCTTCCAATGAATATTCAGGGTTCATTTCCTTTAGGATTGACTGGTTTGATCTCCTTGCTGTCTAGGAGACTCTCAAGAGTCTTCTCCAGCACCACAGCTCAAAAGCATCAATTCTTCAGCGCTCAACCTTCTTTATGGTTCAGCTCTCACATCCGTACACAACTACTAGGGAAACCAGAGCTTTGACTATACGGACCTTTTTTGGCAAAGAAACATCTCTGCTTTTTAATATGATGTCTAGGTTTGTCATAGCTTAGTTAGTTGCTTCATTTCAGTCATGTCCAACTCTGTGACCCCATTGACTGTGGTCCACCAGGCTCCTCCTGTAACTCGCATGAAATCCAGCTTTCTCCCCACTGTCTTACCTATCCTTTGTGGCAGATCATGGCTGGGGAAAAATATGATCTTGCTGACTGGCCTCATTTTCAGTTTGTGTTCACTCACCTCAAATGGGTCCTCATGCTGTCCAGAATCATATTTCTCCTCACTCTCCCCTTATTTTTCCATAATGACTGTTTCATACTTTCTCTTTTCTTGAGTTTTTAACACTTTGCCCCACATTCTCACTGCTGGGTGATGACCTTTATATTTCATTGAGAAAACTGAAGCAATGAAAAGATAATTTTCACCGCTTCCAGCCTTTTTGCCTTCCTATTTGCAACTGTTTCCATATACTTTGCCTTCCTACTGAAGGATCAGTCCATGCTCTCCCTGTTCCCTTTCCATGACACCACTCCAGAAATGCCCCTCTATTCTTCATCCTCAGGTTTTTCCTCCCTACTGGATATTTTCCACCAACATGCAAATTTCCCCCCTCTTAAATATCCTTTGTTGACCTCTATTTTTGTCCTTTGGATACTGTCTCATTTTTCTCCTTCATTTTACAAAAAATGAAGTTGTTTAACGAAAGTCGTTTAACTAAATGATTTTAGGTACCTGTATTTGTCTCTAGTTCCTTTCCTTCCATTTTTCTTACACTCACTCAGTAAGCCTTTCTCTCCTCTGCAGAAGCTATTGGTATGGAGGTCACCAGTGAATGTGCATTACTGAAGCCCGTGTCCACTCTCTCCTGCCATATCCTGTCTGCAGCACTGGACTTGGCTGGTTTGGCTTTCTGGGTTTGGCTTGGAGAACAGTTGTACTTTCCTGGGTTTTCTCCTACTGTGTTTGCCACTCCTTCTCAGTTATTTTTTCTCTCCAGCCTTTTGGCATTGAAACACGCTGCATCTGTGCTGTACCTCTACTTTTTTCTGTCTAGGCCACTCCCTTGGTGATACCATTCAGTCTCATAGTTTTAAGCACTGTGTATATGTTGATAATTCCTATATTCCTATATCTAGTCTTGACTTTTGGCTACAGAATAATTTCCAACTTATCATTTCACATCTCCACACGGTATCTAAAGCTGTCTCAAACTTGACATGTCTAAAATAAAGGCCCTGACTTTTTTCTTTCTCATCTTCCCAGCACCATTTCTGTTTTAGTTAATGTAATTCCATTCCTCAGATTGCTGAAGCCTAAAAACCTTGGAGTCACCCATGATTTCTCTTTTCTCAGCACAACAGCTAGAAGGATTCTGTTTAGTTTAAGTTAAATCATGTTTAGTTTAAGTTAAATCATGTTCTCTCCTGTATGTAAATTTACAGTAGTTTCTCCTAAAAGACGAAGTTATCATAATGACCTACAGAGTCTCATTGCCTATTAACTCTGACCTTTCCTTTCCTTTTCTCCCCTTTTACTCACTCCCCCCCAGCCACACTAACCTTCTTGCTCATCCTTGAACATGCCAAGATGCTTCCACGTCAAGGCCTTGTACTTCCCAGGATAGTATAACTTCATCTCCATCTTCCTGGTGTTTACTTTCATGTTACTCAATCTAACCACTCCTTTTGCAAACTGCAGCCACCAACTCTGAGTACTCCACGCTTGATTTTCCCCCAAATGGGTATAGTTGGCTCTCTGTATCTATGGGGTCTGCTTCTGTATATTTAACCAACTGTGGATCTAAAATATTCTGGGAAAAGCAAATTCCAGAAAGTTCCAAAAAGCAGACCTTGAATTTGTTATGCACAAGCATTTACATTGTATTTATAGTTATTTACACAGCATTTACATTGTATTAGGCATTCTAAGTAATGATTTCAATGATTTCATTCTATAGAAATGATTTCAAGCCTGTGGGAGGATGCACATTAGTTACATGTGAATAACGTACCATTTCTTATAAGGGATGTGATCATCTGTGGATTTAGTAACCACAGAGGTCTGGAACCAGTCTTCCATGGATACTGATGGATGTCTGTATCTAATTACTGTACAGTAATATGTTGCCTGTCCCCCTCCAATTGAGTGGGGCTAGAATTTTTGTTTGTTTTGTTAAATATTGTATCCCTAGCACTAGAACAGTACCTGGAATATATGTGGTAGAAACAATGAGTAAGTGAATATCAGCTGGTGAACAGTAATTACCTTAAGCTAGCATGCTTCTGGGGTTGAGACTCTTGGAGGACAGTGATAGAAAGACTGAGTTTCCTTTCTCTTTAATTTGCCTCATTTTTGTGAATCGTTTTCTTGATTTTTCTTGATCATTTTCTTGATCGTGCAACTTGAAGTTGTTATTGATCCATCGTTAATTTTGAACTCTTTGGCTTTGGGTTATAGATATCTGTTAAAATTTAATACAGTTTTCGTTATTCATGTCTTTATAATTCTGTTGAGATAATAAAAATTTGGATATCAAAGGATAACTATGTTAACTGAACCTGTCTGGTTCCTGAATTTTAGATTCTGATGAGAATTGGACTCCCCAGGGATTTATCTGAACATTTGTTTGAATCTGTTCAGTTCCTGGGTTTGGATACCAAGAATTTGGGTAGTGAGTGATAAGTATAATCATATTTTGAAATTTTCATTATCTTAACATCAGTTTTCCGAAAAGTCACTAAGAAATTATAACAACCCTTAGGTGGCAGCAGATCTTTGAAAATCATCTTGAATCCAGTGTTTAGTATCTGTGTTTCGTGCTCTTCACCATTAGTGTGTTAAATTTAGGAAGACAGATATCCAGACGCACAGTATGTGAGGAATTTAGTGTTACTCTACAGTTCTATTAGTTAAGTGAGTAATGGGGCTCCTGCTGTGGAGAAAGGTGCCTGTGTACCCAGGGACCTGGGGAAGAATTAAAGTAAAAGTGAATCTGGAAGGTGGTGACAGCAAGGGGAAGCACTTAGAAGTTAAGTACCTTAATTGCCTCTTTAGGAATTTCGTCAGAAATCACTGGACTGGGAGAAGCAGCGCTTGATTTATCAGCAACAGGTGTCTTCTCTGGAGGCACAAAGAAAGGCTCTAGCTGAACAATCAGAGATAATTCAGGTAAGTTTAAGACATTTTTGGAATAATGAGAGCGGAGAGGTTTTGATTAAATTTGAACCAGCTTAAAAAATGCAGTGCCGTGTGCTCAGCGTGCTCACCCCCATCCTCACGCCCACGCTCCTTTGCTTGCTGCTTTCCTGCACTGGTTCCTCCCTCCCTCACTCGGGCTCTTGTTCTCCCAGTCTGTCACTGACTTGCATTCTCCGGCTCAGTCCACACTTTGATTTCACTCTCCCTTCCTTTCTCTTTCTGCCTCTGCTCTCTGTCTCCTTTTCCATTTCTTTCTGGCTCTGACTTACTTATTCTGGCTCTTTCTGGCTCTTGCCTTGGCCCCACTTCTGTCTGTGTCTTGTTCCATCTCTGATAGTTGGGGGTGCCTTAGCTGAGGTCCTCAGTCAGGGATCTTTGGCCAGTCTGCCTGTTTGAACACAAATGCTCAAAGATTCACACTAACAAAAAGCAGTATCTTTGTGGTAACAGAAACACTTTTTACAACATGACTAGAAACTTTTTAAATGAATAACTGATGGCTTAAGCAAAACAAAAAATTAGCTACCCTAATTTAGGAATTTTCTTCTTGGAACATATTCAGTTTGTTTGCTTTTTCAATTAAAAACCAAGAACAAAAGGGAAGTGAACGTAGAGGGTAATGAATATTTATGACCATGGGGTTACAGAGAGTCAGATATGACTTAGTGACTGAACAACAACAACAGCAATGTGCTAGACACTGTCTCAATGCTTCTTCTAAATGTAGCGATCTAGAATATGTAATTATATGTTGTCTGTTTAGTATCATGATAATTTGTCAAGGTTGGTAGAAATCTCAGTTTTATAGAAGAGGGAATTGCCAGAGAAATTAAGAAGAGCTAGAGGGACGCCTTAAAAAAGGTAAAAAAACAATCTGCATTATTTGCTGCTCTAAATCTTGGTAATATTTTTACTTTTAGTCATCTACCCTGAAATATCAGTGGGCTAATAAACTACCATGAATGGCTCTGCTGTTAGTGACTCCACTCAGAATGGTACAAGGGGCCCACAGCAATCTAAAGGATCAAAATTATTTACTAGGCTGCAGCAGGCTGTGCAGCCAGAGTGGGCCAATAAAATCCTGAAAGTGTAGACCAGAGTTTTTTTATTTTTACCTGAATGCTAAAGTACTGTACAGACATAAATAGCTATAAGATATTATAGGCTTCAGATTGGCAAAAAAGAAAATTGAGTCCTAGTTTTTAAGTTCTCAATTATTCTTCTATGTAATATGCTTATTGTTGATCATAGATCCTTTTTTTAATTTGCTATTGTGATTACTCAACATAATTAAAGCTTCATTGTTAGAAAAAATGAGATTTTTATTTACCATAATTCAGCTAGAGGTAGAATAAGAATCCTTTAAAAAGCCAACATTTGTTTCCTGTATTTGAACTCTTCTGGTGGTTTATTTAAACTAAAACTGCTCTGATTAAGGAAAAACTGTTACTTTTATTTCTTTCTCCCTTAGCAGTACTCTCTGGTCCTCATTTTAAAAAAAGTTTTAAAAATAAATTTCTATATACCCATTACCCAGCATTAATAGTTATCATTTTGCCAATCTTAAAAAATGGTGGCAAAAAATATTAAAATGTATAATCTTAACCATTTTAAAGAGTACAGTACAGTATTAACTATATGTCCATTTTTGTGTAACAAATCTCTAAAACCTTTTCAGCTTACAAGAGTAAGACTCTATATTCATTGAACACCAACTCATTTTGCCAATTTTATTTCATTCTTCCTGACATGTCAGGAAATATGAGTCATGATTGTATAGAAGTTTAGTCTACCATTAAATGCCTTGATTCATGTAACCAATATTTTGTTGTAGAATTTTTAGGTTTTTATTTTTTTTTCACTCTTAAGTAGAGCTTGGGTGAACATCCTTATTTAAATATTTAGGCATTTATGTCCATTTATTTTCTTAGGAAATGGCCCTAGAAATAAGATTACTGCATCAAAGTAGTCATACATTCTTAAAGATTTTAATGCATATTGTCAATCTTCAAAGATGTACTGATGCACACTTTCACCAGCAGTGTTTGAGAATATCTGTTTCCTCATACTTTCTCATTATTGAGCAGTATTATTTATTTAAATATTTCTTTTAATTTCCCCTACATTTAGGCTTGTCTTTACCAATCTGATAGAGTGGGAAAAAATGGTATCTGATTATTTGTTTTAATTTGCGTCTTTAATTCTTTAATTATGAATGAGACTGAGCATTTTTATCTACCTATGACTTTCCACTCTTTTGCAAATTATTTGTCCCTTGTTTTTAAAGAATATTTATATTATACTATGAAAGAATTCTTAGTATATACATTGACTATATTAACTCTTTGCTGTTTTGTTGCAATTGTGTGTGTTTTCCCAGTTTACCTTAATTTTGCCTAGTAGTTTTTATGGAAATACAGTTGTTTTACAGACAATTTTTAGAATGGCTTAATTCTATTAATTTTTTCTTTAAGGTTTTTATCTTTGCTGTCATACCATAAAGACTTACATAAGCCAAGATTTCTTCTAATGCTTTGTAACTTCTTAATATATTTGATCTGAAAATTCTTTTGGTACAAGGAATTTGATAGGGATCTATATTTTTTTCCAAATGGTTATCCACACAATTTGTTGTCTGTTACATTTTGAAAACTTTGCAGAATGGTTCTAAAATTCATGGGGAAGGATAAATGAATGGTACTAGGCAACATTTTTATAAGGGTGATGTTTGTGCTATCAAATATTAAAATATATTAAATTTGAAAGTACAGTTGTTAAACAGTTGTAAGTACTTTATTAGATGCAAAGACAGAGTGATGGTTGTATAAGCATAGGAAAACGTCAGAATAGTCACTAAAACATAAGATCATTTCTGTGTCGAGGGCAAATAATCACTTGCTACTTTCCCTCCTGCCCAAATAATACAGTGAGTGAAAAGGAGTCATTCAGGGAAGTCTTAGAGAACATTAAGAACATTTGAAAAAAATTAAAATTTTAAGCCAGCTCAGAATATAAAATACTTAGCTTATACATGGTATGTGAGAAAAGTAAAGCCTGCATTGTATATGTTTTCCTTTTGAAGTATTTATATGGGCTATATGATATTGTTCAGGTTTGAATATATATTATATTTTTAAAGGCATATTTTCCTTATGAAAAAAAGATGATCCTAACACAAATGTTAATCTGTTGTCTTGGTAGAATTATCATATGCTTAATTGAATTGGCTCAGATTTACTGTTTAAAAGTTTATGATGACAGAGACAGAGTAGTGATAAGGCCTTATTGGGAGCTATACCACTGATGGGCTGTCTTTTCAAGATGTTTCTTTAGTGGAAATACTGCAGAGCTGTTGTCTGCACTGACGTGTTTGGGGTTCACTCTAATGGAGAGCGTGGTAAAAATTGATGCCTACAGTGGCATAACTTCATGTTGGGATTCTTTGGAAAATTAAAAAAAGAATACTTGTTGCTTTGTATCATTTTCTTCTCAGTAATCTCACTATATGGAAAAGTTATTTTCTTGAAGCCCAAAGATTACATACCACAAAGCCAGAGGAGGATTTGAGTTCAATCTCCAGCCTTTTCCCTATTCTCACATACTAGCTCCCCACTCGTGGCTTTTATTTTTATCTCCATGGCATAAATTACTTTTCTTAATTATTTCTTTACTTTTAACCACCTCTGTTGTGATTTGTATTGTTGAAATAATCCTACCCACTCTACTAGAATGGTAAAGAATCTGCCTGCAATGCAGGAGACCCAGATTTGATCTCTGGGTCGAGAAGATTTCCCTGGAGAAGGGAACGGCTGCCCACTCCAGTAAGAATTCCCTGAATAGAAGGGCGTGGTGGGCTACAGTCCATGGGGTTGCAAAGAGTCAGACACGACTGAGCAAATAATGCACACATATGCTCCACTAGAATAGTTAAAATGCTATTTGAGAGAAAGGTTTCTGGTTCAAAAAAATTACTGGCAGTGGCTAGTGGGGAAAAAAAAGGCTTAAAAATATATTGGCTTTAAGATACCTCTAACACTAGATGTTTAAGAGAAGTAATCATTTTATAAACAGTTTATATTTTTATTTCTGACTTTTCATATTGGAAGAGGTAGTCTTGAGATATTCTAGTGTACCTCTGTCCAATAGAAATACAATATGAACCACCTATGTATAAAATTTTCTGTAAGTCACATTAATAAAGTAAAAAGAAACAGATAAAATTAATATATTCTATTTATCTCTTTTCTGTTGTTCATTTGCTCAGTCGTGCCCGACTCTTTGAGGCCCCATGGACTGCAGCACACTAGGCTTCCCTGTCCTCCTACAGCTTCCCACTGTCTCCCACAACTTGCTCAAACTTATGTCCATTGAGTCGATGATGCCATCCAACCATCTCATCCTCTCGTCCCCTTCTCCTCCTGCCTTCAATCTTTCCCAGCATCAGGGTCTTTTCTAAAGAGGTGGATCTTTGCATCAGGTGGCCAAAGGATTGGAGTTTCAGCTTCAGTATCAGTCCTTCCAGTGAATATTCAGGATTGATTTCCTTTAGGATTGACTGGTTTGATATCCTTGCAGCCCAAGGGATTCTCAAGAGTCTTCGCCAACACTACAGTTCAAAAACATCAATTCTTCATCACTCAGCTTTCTTTATGGTCCAACTCTCACATCCATCATACATAACTGCTGGAAAAACCATAGCTTTGACTATATGGATCTTTATCAGCAAACTGATGTTTCTGCTTTTTAATAGGCTGTCTAGGTTGGTCATAGCTTTTCTTTCAAGGAGCAAGCGTCTTTTAATTTCGTAATTGCCTTTACCATCTGTAGTGAATTTGGAGGGCAAAAAAATAAAATCTCTCACTGTTTCCATTGTTTCCCCATCTATTGAAGTTATCAGACTGGATGCTGTGATCTTGGTTTTTTGAATGTTGAGTTTTAAGCCAGCTTTTTCACTCTCCTCTTTCACTTTT